ACTCACCTCAGCCTCCCAAAGGCGCAGGATTACAGGCTGAGCCACCGAGCCTGGCTTAGAGTCCTCTTAATAAATGTTGGACGGATAGAGGTTTTGAACTCCTGGCTTCAAATGATCCTTGAATGGGTGGGTGGATGGATGGATGGATGGATGGAACCAAGCAAGGCAGAATCATACAAGAAGTTAAGCTGGGCTCACACCTGTAATTCCTGCACTATGGGAGACTGACGCAGGAGGATCACCTGAAGCCAGGAGTTTGAGACCAGTCTGGGCAACTAAGCAAGACACTATCTCTATAAAAAATTAGCGGTAGAGTGGCATGTGTTTTTTATAGTCCCAGATACTTGGGACTGAGGTGGGAGGATCGCTTGAGCTCAAGAATTAGAGGCTGCAGTGAGTTGTGATTGTGCCATGACACTCCAGCCTGAACAAGAGAGTGAGACTCTTTCTAAAAGAAAAGAAACTGAGGCAGACAAGCAGTCAAGTGTTGTGGTCATGGATAGAAGGAAGGTTGTGGCTGAAGGTCCGAGTGGGACTTGGGATAGCATAGACTGACATTTAACTTTCTAATTGGTCATTATGAAGATGTTCCTTATTTTGCAATACGTTGGAACTTCTCTTTACATTAAAAGAAATTGTTATTATATTGTAAAGATGTGGCGTACAAATTAGGATTAGGTACACAAGTAGTCTGTGTGCAGGTGAAGTTTGGGCCTCACTTCCCCTGTTTTTTTTTTTTGAGTTGAAGTCTCACTCTGTCGCCCAGACTGGAGTGCAGTGGCTCACTCATGGCCACCGCAGCCTTGACCTGCTGGGCTCAGGCGATCCTTCCACCTCAGCCTTCCAAGCAGCTGGAACTACAGGCACACACTACCATGCCCGGCTAATTTTTTTAATTTATTGTAGAGGTGAGATCTCTCCAAGTTGCCCAGGCTGGTCTCGAACCCATGAGCTTAGGCAATCCACTCGCCTCGGCCTCCCAAAGGGCTGGGATTACAGGCTGAGCCACCGAGCCCGGCAACTTCCCCTGTTTAGGATAAGGGACCCTTAGTGATGTTGTGTGCCTCCCTGGCAGTGTCCCATTACTGCTAAGCCCTCTCCTGTAATATTGTGATAAATGGAATTTCTGTAAATTAAATATGTTATCATATTGGTGATGTACATGGCATTTAAAATGTAACTTTCCCTTTATTTTAATCAGATTTTCCATAGTGGTCTAAAACATGTTGATTCCTCTTAGTTCACATAAGTCTGCGTTTTATAACCATTCTGTCTTCTTATTACCCCTACTCTGCTCCCCTATCCCTCACCACACCATCCTTTCACACCCACAGCCACACACATACCTACATCTGCTCACATACTCTATACACACCACACACCCCATGGAAACACTCACTTGAACACATACACCTACACTTCTACCCAAACATCCCTTCATGCACACACATACGAGTGTGTTTGTATACATTCTCACACAACCTGCACACTTTTGTGGTCACCTGTTTAGTTAGAAGTATTCAGGGATTCATTACCAGTAGAACTCGCAGCCTCTGTAGAATCCCCTCTTCACAGAAATGAGGCATTTTTTTGTTTATTTATGATTTGGCCCTTTTCTTGATTACTTCCTGAAAGGACTTGAGGCATTCAGTGTTCCTTTTAAATAAATGGTTGACTTTTTTGGAGGATTGATTTTGGGCCCTCGCACACATCCAGGGAATCTGACACCATCGTCTGCGAGGGGCTTTTGGCACATTGTTGCATGTACTTTGAATCTTAAAGTACCTTCTAGCTCTCCCCGGGGACTAATGTAGCATGAATTATTGAAGTCCTCAGAGATCTCTAAATCCTATTTTAGGCATTAGTTCCATACCCCTTCTAAATCTTTGATTGGACCTGTTAACACGCAGCCAAGCTACTGTAATTTGGTCTCGGTTTCTTTCCTGCATTTGTTCTCACTGTAGTAGAGACCATCCCAGGAAGTAATGAGAGAAGGGATGAGTAGAAGCAACCATGATCCTGGGTAATTGAGAACTGGCTCAAACCCAGGGTGGGCATGGCTTAGGTCAGGAGGTTTCCTGGCTTAGCTTTAGAACAGCTAGAGCACTAGTAACCTTGCCTCAGCGTGAGTGCGTGTGGATGAATGTCAGTTTTTTGGTCCTAGATATTATTTACAAAG